CAACCAACTGAGCTATGAAGCCAACTATGTTGGAAAGAGGTCATTTTATTGGGTGAACCCATCTATACTAAGGAGCACATGATGAAGTAATGGTTTAAACTGCGGTGAATAAATGGGCATGATGAATATGATCATCACAGTGTAAATAATAATCTAAGCAATTATTAATAATATGTTTGGATCATTCGGGCTTTAACAGGAATCGAACATCATGTGTTTCTCAGTATACATGGGTTCGTTAACCCAATAAAATGATTGCTCTCCACATAGTTGGCTTCAAAGCTCAGTTGGTATAGCAAAGGTCATGGGTTTGATTCCCGTTGAAGCACAATTTTTTTTCAGGGGGGGAAGGTGTTGATCCATACATTTATAAATAATTGCTTAGATTATTTTTTACACTGCGACAATCATATTCATTACACATTTGTTTGTAAGGAGAATTAAAAAAACTAGTGTCAGAGCAGTTTGTTACTATGTACCAGTCAAATAGACCTAATTGGCTAATGCATTTGTGAGCAAGTGAAGTTTTTGAAAACTTCACATGACGTTAATAGTTTGTTATTTTAAAAGTGTTTATCTTTCGTCAATGTCATGTAAAATATTCCTGTCAATCAATTTGCGCGTTCCAGAAATCGCTTTGTCGTTGTATAAGCTTGTGTTACATGTGATTAAACCAGTTCTGCCCTACTCTTCAACGAGTATGGTGGTTATGTAAGATGTAGTCTTATTGCTGATGAGGAGTAACATACCCTCACCATATATCTGATGCAGATACAAACAATCCTCTTGGAGAGTCAAATACTCTCAAATAAATGAGGACCTTTGGCCCGGTCACACATTAAATGTTTCCACTCAATTCAAACCACCTGGGAGTAAGTTTCATTGTTCATTGTATTTTCCTTTCACAGTTAAATTATTCAAAACAGAAAGTCTTTCTCAAACAGGATTTGAATTGGGTGGTAACGTACAATTGGTAACACGTTAGCCAAATAGATCTATCCCCCCATTCCCATCCAAACCCCAATTAAGTCAAATAATACTAAAAAAAAACACACAAACATATACAGCAAGCCATGTGTAAATCCCTCATAAATCAATTCTGTGATAGATGTTATCAATGTTATGTTTTGTATTTTTTATAGTGCTCTGAGGTTCTAAATATTAATTCTTCATCGCAATGTGACTTTGTGAAAACAACTCCTGATTGTCAGCTGCCTGRTGGTTTTATCCAATACCTGTACTTACCATATTGCTTGCTGCCTCAYGGYGTAGCATTCTTTATTCTTGTAAGTATAATTAACTGTATATTAATACTAACACTTTAAAATGTATGGTGGAAAATTGWTAACACTGTGTCAGTGACAAATCAAGATAATAATACAATGCTGATATCCTGGAGAAAATCTTAGGATTTACCTGTGAGTGTAGGATCCTGACAGGATCCTGGAAGATCCTGTAGATCCTATTTCAGAAGTGATCCTTTAGGATCCAGTGTAAGATCCTATTCAAGATTCTACAGGATCCTACAAGATCTTACAGGATCCTGTTAGGATTTTTACCACAGACTAAAATCCTATTCAAGATCCTCAGGATTTTACACAGGATCCTACCAGGATCTTGTAGGATTTTGAATAGGATCTTACATGGGATCCTGTCAGGATCCTGTCTAAGATTTGCACCAGAGTAGTTAAAACATGCATCAGTGTTATATGTATGTACAATCAAGGTCAATTACGCATATGAATACTAAGAAAACGTTTGAATTTATTGAATTTATCCTTTAGTTCCTATGGCTGGGGTTTCTGTTTATTGTTTTAGGAATTACATCTGATGACTAGTAAGTTAAATGAATATTTTACTGAATATAATCTATTTGATGAAATTAAAAATTATGGAAAATTGGCATTTGTATGGAAAATGCTTCTTCATGGGGTTTGGCAATTTTGCTGTCAGAGTTAATTGTGGTTAGTTTGATAATGATGTTATTTATGTGGGTAGTGACATGAACCAACAGATTAAAGGACTTAAGGTTAAGACTGGCTACCTTCACAATCTGTCTGCTCATTTGTTAACAATTCAAGTGATTATTGGAATGATATGTGAATGAAATAATATGTATTTTTTATTATATTGATGAATAAATAATTAATCAATCATTAATTTATTGCAGCTTTTGTCCCTCACTTATTGTCATCTCAAAAACATTAAAATTGAATGAAAATGTTGCTGTATCCTTTTTGCATATTTAGTATTTTCTTGGTTTAATGCAACATTATTCAATTGAATGTTTAAATAAAGAATATTTTTATTTTATATTGTCTATGATTATTACATCTTTAATTTTGAAAAAGGGTGTCACAATCTTGGCTTATGGTAATGGAGCACCAGACATCTTTAGTGCAGTTGCTGCTCTTTTACATATTGATAGGGACAGAACTGCTGCAGAACTAGCCATAGAATCACTTTTAGGTAAGCACAACTATACAAATGATAATATAATCCGTGGTCTCAACTAATATTTTTGGAAGTTTTTTYCTTTAGGGAAATTTCAGCAAACAATAACATGCACTGGCACTAGAATGCAGATAAAATTGTAGCTGCTACTTCCTATTCTCAATATTTTCATTTTAATTCACAGGTTCTTGTATGTTTATGACAACAATAGTGATTGGAGTTGTATCTCTCGTTTCAAGAGACTTCACTGTGACTCGAAGACCTTTCATTAGGGACACTGTATTTTTTATTGGTACTATTGTGTGGATATCAATAGCACTGTACAATAAAGAACTCCCTATGTGGCAGTCAATAGGTGAGCTTTCATCTTTCAGGCAACACTTCAATTTGCCCTTTTTGAGATCCCTGTGGCATCCTCTTGGCCAAGCTGGGACCTTATCATTTTTATCAACTGTTTTCTTCTAGTTTACTGCTAGTCTCCACCACCTTGTCATTTTACTTGAGAAAGACAGGGAGGGCATTAAAAGTAGAATTTCAAAGATAAATAGTGTGATCTCTCATCATTTTTSAGAGTTTTTACCATTGGAATAATAGCCTGACATAATTCAGCTTTTTGAATTTTCCAGGTCTTATTGTACTTTATTTTGTATACGCTGTTGTTGTTATTGTTGGGCATTATATATATCAGTACTTGAAGAGGAAAAAACAAGAAGAAGGTAACTAGTTAACTACTAAATGTTGTATACCGTATATCACTGGCTGTGTCCATAATAGACTTTTAATATCCCARACTTGTTGGATGAACACCAAACAATGCCTTTGAGGCTGCAGTTTTTGACAAAAGATAAAACTCCAGTCTCAACTTGAAGCCATTCTTGAGGCCAAAGTCATGATAATCTATTCTCTGGTGACCCTGGTAGCAAATCTCGTTCCTGTGCTAACGTCCACATAAAGACTCTTKTTGCAGCTGATTGGTTTATTAAAACTTGCTACATTGCAGCAGCAAAAATCTATTTTGATGAATTTTTGTCAGTGCTTTTCAAATTATTGTATTTTTTCATATTTTAATAGGAGGTGTTCTGTATGTCAAGGAAAGTGATTCTTTGCACAGCTCACTCTCTGATTCAACAAAACATTTACAAGGTACTAGTCTTTTAGGATGAATATAATATTATTAAGAAATTGTTACATTGATAATATTATGTAAA